CACCTCTCTTCATAGGGCAGATTTGCAGGCATGTTGCTTTCAAATCTATTTTTAAGATAGACATACTATGGACTAATAACTCACAGTTTAAACCAATTCAGTCTCACCACAGAGTAGACTGCAGAGGGCCCCAAAAAAAAAAAACAGGTCCCAAAAATACGTAATGCCCATTATTAAGCACTACTGAGGTGCAATTATTATCTAGGGTCACTTTCTCTTTCTGGACTGGAAAATAATTTCAAAATTGAAGGTATTTGGGTGGTTAGGGTTAGGGTTTTCTCCCCTGTCATGCAGCACTGTAGGGAAATCAACTAAAGTGAAGTTTTAATAATTTAATTGTTCTGCTTTTGAGGGCAAAAGTATCTTTTTGTTCAAATTTATTTCGTAAACACAGGACATTTTACATTTTAAACATTATACGGTTGGTGCTGTCTGGTGAAGTAACATTATTATTTCTTGCTACTTACTAGCCAACATATATGCTGACATGTACATATCTGTGATAAACTAGCTTTGTTAGATACTGTATAATTCAGAAAATATCAACTGATTGGGTTGTTTGGAATGGGAATGACAATGAGCAAAGACATTTTCGATCCTTCTGGGACGTTTATCTCAGTTTAAATACTTTTAACCACTAACACTGCAGAGTCCAAAATTGAGATATTGTTAATATTTAGAATGAAGCCTTAAGAAAAGGTATTCTCCTTCCTCCCCACAGGGTGTCTTCCTGTATTTCATCATCAACATACTCTGGGTGGTCGCTACCTTCTTCCTGCAGGCCATTGGAAGTGACGTCATCAGCATCAAGATCCCTAAATACTATCCAAATGGAACTGAATCTGGAGAAAACCTCAAGGTCAGACACACAGACAGACAGACAGTCCTAGATACATCATGCAGAGACGCAGTGACAGAGATAGTTAAAGAAGGACTGTGACGTATATTTCAATGTCTGTTGGTACGCCTCAACTAAAGTAATCACCATTACTGTCATTTTGTGTTGACAGGTCGAGCCTCTCAGTTTGATGTTCCTGTTTTCTTTTGCTATTCTTCTTCTCGTCCAGTTCCTGGCCATGTTGTATCACAGGTAAACACATGTGTACACACACACACACACACACATAAATTTGAAACCCACTGAATTCTCATCACTTCAGGTATTACTTTTTTGCAGCTGTAAAATGAGACTTGCATTTAACAACCCTGCAGCTAACTTACTGAATGACCTTCAAAACTAAGGAGGAAAACATCCTAGCTTTCAGATACTGGAGGTCGGATTCAGTGGCAAAGAAATGATTCCAGTGTTTCTAAACTCGTACTGAATATTTCCCCGCACCATGAGCAGGGACATTTGCATTAATCAATTCCCGCCTTTATGGAAAATTATAATGACATCTCCTGCTGTTCTTGAGACTATTATACTTCTATTTTCCAATGTTTCAATATTTTGTACTCACGTTTCATCTTGGTGTCTGTGTGTTCACAGGATTTACACTCTGATCCATGTGGTGTCCTATCGCAGCACAGAAAAAGACTACAAAGAGAAAGAAGAAGTAAGTAAAAAAACACTGCAGGATTTTTTTTTAACTGGAATCGTTGTCATGTACAAGACAATATCAGAATACCAAGAATAAACCATAACTATACACAAAAATCTAAACTTCACTAGCAAATACTAAAACTTATTATACTACAACATAATGGCAATTGTGCAAAAAGAGACCTATAACCTTAAATAACATTTAATCTTGACAAAAAATTTAGAAAGTCGAATAATGGGTATGAGCATGCATGCAAAGTGGAGCTAATAGGAGTTAAATAAATTATAATTCAGGCCATACATTAGTAGTGGCATATTGTCATCTAAATCTCTGATTTGAACTTTGTACAAAGAAGTACAATGTGTTGGGGTTTTTTATCCATATAATAGGCTGAAATGCAAACAAGGTACAGTCTTGACTAGCACCGGAGTAATGATACACTTTTACAGTGTTGATTCCTATATTTGTAATTTATGGCAATGTTATACCTCTACTATTAAATGAGCTGCAGGAGACATTACCCAGGACCCCTACCAGCTAGCTCCTTATACATGCAGTAGGCCCAATCCTTAGCAAGGCAGTCAAACAGGCGACTTAACTAAACAACGTTTCAAAAGATAAAGTTTAATTGTAGGGTTATTAATTTGTCCCTGTGCCCAGCAGTCTGAGTCAGAGAACTAAATTCAGGCGAACCCATTACAAGCTTTATGACCACATCAACAACTACATATACAACAGTGAAGTTACGTTCATACAGAGAGCCACAAGGGTCATTTGCCAAGTTTCTAGGGTTTAATTTGGAGAGAACGAGGCCACCGTTCCCTTCAAAGGTTTTACCGGAGTCCTGGCACAGTCTCCCGGTAGTGTGAAGTTTACTAATCAAGGGACGTCAACTTCACCTGTTTCTTTAACAGTGCAGTACCATCAGTCACCACACAAGCTGATTGACGTTATCATACATTGAAATCCAGAGGGCGCTGTTTCACACATTTTAAGAAACTCAATGGACATTTAGGGATAAGATTATATATACTGTCAATGGCATAGACCGATTTAATGGGAAATGAGAATATGCAATGGATATCTGACAATAGTGAATTAAATAATTAAAAAATATTGATTATTGATACATCACTTAATTAATCCACATGAGAAATTGCATTGTCACAGCAGCAAAAAGACACTCACTAAATTACACAAGAAGTAAATCAAGAAAAACATTTCTGGCCATAAATTAAAAATCAACCAGTGAAACTAGGACCATAAATATAAACAATAATAATCTCTTAATTTAAGTTAATATATTGCACAATGGTGATGCAAGTCTACTATACACAGTACTATTATTATTATATTAATGTCATAATAGCCACGGTAAAATGATAAAGACAAAGAAAAGGGTGACATTTTTTAATAGAATGATAGTTGTGGCTTTTCTAGACTTCTGGGAGAAAACAACAAAGCTGTTTTATAGTTAGGCTAGTGGCTCAATCTGGGTGATGTGAATGTGAATTTGGTTATGAGCTGTTGAAGTTCCACTGATCATTCTGGGCTCATCAGTCCACCTCTGACTAAATGGAGTTCTCCATCAGAGCACATCAAAAAATGTATTTATGTTATGTTGATCAGTGGTGGAAGAAGCACTCAGATCCAGTACAACAATGTAAAAATACTCCATTATGATTAAAAGTGCTGCATTCAAAATTTTAATCAAGTAAAAGTATGGAAATAGTGTAAAAAGTGTAAAAATACTCATGCTGCAGAAGAAATATATGTGACATCAAACTCTCAGTTATGAGTCTGTTAATTTACTCATTGAGAAATCTCTTTTTTTTGTGTGTGTGTGTGTGTGTGTCTTCCCATCACCTAGGAGGAAACTGAAGACTTGACTCTGGAGAATCCCAGTACCAACGGACTTTTCATTACCAATGAAGACCTGTAGAAACTGTCCGAAACACTGTAACAGTGAAACACAATCATCACAATAGTATCTTACCACTTAAGGGCTGCCATTAAAATATCTCTTTTTTCAACTTTCACAATCCATAAATATGGTACATTTTAATGATCACACAGCACAGGGATGTCACAGGAAATCATTTTGTCTGCAACTATTCTGCAGCTGCAGTTTTGTCTCTCAGCTGGCAAGATCTGAGTATGGTCTAGCTGGGCAGGCAAAATGGCACAAGGGAAATCAGTTTTAACAGAGCCAATATGCTTTGTTTAGTAGTATAAAATGAGGAATTATTAAGATGTGAGCTCAGGTTTTTTACCCAATGGGATATCAGGTAGGAGTGTTTTTAATAACCAAGTGCTTTATTTGAATGTATTTGTATTTATTCTATTTGATGTATGGCTGAATGCATCCGGTCTAAACCAGTTTGTTGATTGTTCTTTTATTTTTGCTGGTGTGTATATTTATGGACCGTGGTGTAGATGGAAGCAAATCATTTAAATTTGTTTACAAAATGTATATCTGAGCTCCCTGTCAATTCATAATAAAACAATACTTGTGCTGCGTGTTGCTCCCAGTACCTTTAAAGATTTTTAAATGCAAAATTTGCACAATAAATATAGTAAGGAATATATTTACCATTTTATTGTTCAAATATTTTAGTTTATTTTGTAATTTACAATGATGTGTTGCCTTTTTAATATTGTGTTAAGATGGTATCTGTGTAATTATGTTTACCAATTATGTATACCAATTGTAACAATGCACTTTACAAAGAAATATAATTTTCTTGAACTGCCTGAAAAACTTTTATTAAAATAAATGTCAGAATTAGAGCGTTTTTCCTATTTGTTTAAACGTATCTAAATTAAGCTTACATGGCCTGACTCATAAGCAGCTGCTCACATTTGTCTTCTCATGCCACTAACATGCTCTATGTACCTAAAAAATATTTGATGAATACAAAAAATTATTTTCCTAATGTTGGTTTTCTAATTGTTGAAAGCTTAGTTTATTTAATATATATATATATATTTTTATATATTATGTATAACTGTAACTACGGCATGTATTTGTTATGGTTTTATATTGCAGGATATGTAGGGCTAACTCTACAGTACTTTCCCTGGTTTGTATGTGTGAAGTCAGACAGGAGTGTGTGAGGTTTGATCCCTGTGCTCAAGGGGATTTATTGAGCAAGATAAAGGAAGAGGACTTAATTGGGTGGGCAGCGTAGTGTGACACCTTATCATAATTTGTTTTCTGTGCAGTAATTTCTCCTCAGTCGGCTGTACTCTCCAGGCAGTCCCAAATTTGCAATATAAACTGTTGTAGATTACATCAACTAGACTGTTAGTGATCCATTTATGCATTTATGATCTTCTTTAAGGTCTGCTGAAGTTAAAAGTTTCAGCTTCCCAAAAGCAGTTAACATTGAAATATATACTTTAAAACATTTGTCCATGCTTATTTCACACCCCTTTAAAAAGACAAAACACAACCTGAGTTGACTTTTTTAATGGACAAGTCTTTTCATTCAAATGAATGGAAGCAGTAGACAGTTATTAAATAGAGGCAATTGCAAAGCAATCATCCAATATATATTTGGGGAGAGCGGTTTCAGTTGATGGCGGCAATCCAACACTGCGCACAACTGTAAAAGTTAACACCCATTTCATCACTGTTCTCTGTGAGAGCAGAGCAGAAACACAATGCCTCCCACTTGACAGTGTCTGCAGTACAGTGCACCTTCATGGTACCACACAATTGCAGAGTTATCTAGTGTAGTAATACCACAAGTAGCATGTTTACAAGTTGTGAGGTCAGAATAGTGCCCCTTCTATTGTGGACAAAGGCTCAGGCCTGATTGCTGTCACCGATCCCCAAACACCCAGTATAAAAAGAGTAACACTTCACCTCAGTGGATGTGCGGACATCACACTATGCTTAACTTTTACTATAGGTTGATTAGTCAAGGTTTTTTTTTTTATCCTATGGCATTCGAGACATAGCAACTGAAAGATGTAGTTCAGTTGTAAAGAACATATCATTTCATGAGCTTTAAGTAAGGTATCACCTAAAAGATGTACAAGTCAGGCATTACAAAATGGCTGCCAGTGGGTCTGTGTTAATGTACTGTATACACTGTTCTTAAACCCATAGGAAATGGATACTTGGGGATAAATCTAATTTCTCAGATATGTGAAGTTGACTTTATTTTCAGAGAGGGGGACATTGGTCGTCACTGAATATAAAACTTTGAATATTTGAATGCTTTCAATTCAGCTTGTTTGAGATTTCCACCAGCCACACATCCATCACTCACTGACAGCCAATACAAATCACTGCCAGCCCAGATGACAGTGACAGTCAGTCTTATCAGTCCACAGGTTGCCACTTCAATAATCAAAAGCTTGGCTGAAGCTGCGTTTGTGTCCTCCTCTGTTGTTGCCATAGCCACCCCCACCGCCGCCACCTCCGCTCCTGAAGCCACGCCCCCCACTTCCTCCAAAACTCCGCCCCCTTCCACCTCTGAACCCTCCTCCACCACGGTTACCGCCGCCAAAACCTCGGTCACCGCGGTTGTTGAACTGCTTCTCTTCCAGCTCCGGGAGTTCTGTGGCTACAGTCAGTTGCCAACGGCGACCATCCGTCCAGTGCTCCTGTTAAGAGGATCAAGTCGGGAGAAAAGGATGTTAAGCATGACTACCACAGTCTGTCAACTTTAACAAGAAACAGTGTCGTAATATTTATATTGGATTTTGGGTTATTCATTCCCACTCATTTAATCCACCACACATCATGAACAGATGGATGTTTATCCTGTTCTCACCTGAATCTCCTTGACTTTGTCAGCTGGGACATCAAAACAAACTCCCTGTAATGAACACAATAAGGGTGAGATGGTGAGTGTTTCTGTCTCACAGTTTTTTTTAGAGGAGCTGGTCTTTGTACCTGCTGTGCTATCAGAACAAGAGCCACAAGAGGCATGGTCACACCTACAGGAAGGTGTCGCACATTTACTTTTTGCTAACAGATGTTTTGCTGTTTATTCTCTGTGGATAATTAGTTGTTTACAATGCAGTAGGTGAATTCACATATCAACAAAACAATACTGGGTTTTTTCAAATAAATTACACACACAATCAAATTGCATTTTGGATTCCCATTTTCTTTTTCATTTGTCTTTTACTTTAATTTAGGACTGTGGGGGCCCCTTTTCTAACTGGAGCGCTCACTGGCCATCATCTAGAAGCAAATATTTGTCCATGCTAAACTTTTAAACTATACACACCAAAACAAAATATACTCTTAGTACAGAGATTACTCAAAACCCTATCGATAACCTTAGGATAAGCCAAGTAGAATCTGACAAACTGAACCTAAAAAGTTCCACAGTCGATTCCCTTACTAAAGTGCAATGCAATCTGAAACTGTAAAAACAGAAAATCTAACATTGTTTCTTTAACGTATATAAAAATGGAAGCAGCGTCTGTGTGTGTACATACCATTTTGCCTTTAAGGAAGGTCATTCTGTGAACGTGGTTCTCAAACTCTTCTCCAAGCTGTTCTTTGATGCTTCTCCAGGCGTAACCCAGATTATGCATTTCCTGAGAACACACCAACTGCACAGTGGTGTAACCCTACAGAAACAGAAGAAACAGGAAGTCAGAGGGAATTCTGGTTGTACAGCAGCTAAAACCATGACAAATTCATGACCGAATCTAAATGGGGGACAAGCACAACAGTAACATTGAGGTGTGTTTGTAAGGGCTGTTGCAGTTTGAATCATGTTGCAGTTGTTGTCCAACCCCTGCAACAGCTGCACGGTAGTGTGTCCAGATTTGTTACTATACTGTCAGTATTTGTGTGTATACAACATTTCTTTTTTTTTTGGTTTTCTTCTTCATTTTTGTGAATATATCTGTGGGTCCAATTGTGTTGTCTGTAGGTTGTTTATGATGAGAATAAAACCAAACCAAGACCACACTTACAGCATCAGAGTTGAGCAGTGACCTCTGCTCTAGACTTGTGGCTCCAGAAATATGGGCCAGGGCAGCAGCTAGTGCTTCAACGGCTCCTTTTTCCTCAATTAGCTTCTCAGCTGACTCTCTGAAGTATCCGATAGCTGTGACTGGAACAGAGTCCAGGAACCTGGACACAATAAAGAAATAAAATCAGAACAATCTGATATCTGAGCCGTATTGTGGTTAAGGACATTTTGGCAGGCAGAGGCTTCTTGGGACCGCTGTTTAAAGTCTATGTAACCACTGAGCCACCAAGTCGCCCAAGTAATGATAGTAGTCTGCATTATTAACCACATGATGTGAGTCCAAGGTATCAAACAGTAAATCAATTACAGTCATTGCATACTTCCAAAACAGAACATACATATATGGTCAACTTGCTTCACTGTCCAGAATTATTTACCTTACGGCATCCTTGCTCGATGACTTGATGATATCATTGGCAGTGGGAACGCCAACTCGTCTGAATGTGATGCCCTGGAATAATACAAATAAGATGCATTTAGTTCACTTTCAACATTTGCACAGCACAGCTCAAACAGAATTTGTCACTCGTCTTTGCCCCCCAGTCTTCTTCTACTCTGACCGTTTTTAAAAAGGACACTTACTGCTTTGTTTTCTACGTAGCGCAGCTGGTCCTCTTCTTTCCTCTGGTAGAAACAGATGCAGACTCCAGTTCTGCCTGCTCGGCCCGTACGGCCTGAACGATGGATGTATGACTCCACATCCTGACACGAAGCACAGAAACAGAAATATTTTCAGATTCCCATTTCAGCTCTAATGACTCAAAATGTAATTAAGAAATTGTGCAGTTAAAAAGAGTTAATTCTTCATTTTTCATCAATTAACTAGTGCAACTAAGTGTACTGTAACTGTTTATAATTTCAATTCAACTCAATCTGAAGCAAAGGCTAATTTTTTAACATATTTTAGATTTATAAATTTGTGATTTTAAAGTGCA